AAAAAAAAAAAAACTAATCAACTACTATGGCAGCAATTTTGGACGAAAATAAAAAAATAAAAAATAAATCTGTGTAAATCGAAAAACAACAATCATAAATATATCAAATTTTTAAATCAATAATATAATATAAATTATATTATTAAAAATATTAAAAAATAAATTTTATATTATTTAATAATTATTTTTTATTTTTAAATTATATAATACTATATATATTAATAAATTAACTTTTTTTTTACTAGTGGAAAATTGAGAGTAAAAAAAATAGTTATAATATTACTGCATTGACAGCTTGAACTTTTAACAAAAAAACCAAAAACGTTGGTATACTATCATCGCGACTAAAACGCAAGTACTATATATATTAATTAATTTAATAACATAACATTCATAATATAATATATATTATATTATTAACTTTAAATTTTCGTCATAAATTTCCCTTCTCTTTTCATTTCTCATATAAATTTCTAATTCTAAAACTCCACACCGTCCTCGGGTCAAGTCAGAAAAGAAAAAACAAGACCATCGCTATAATAGGCCGTCAGAATTTTCTTGCAGAAGGCATAACATAACACAACTCACATCTCGCCACCCCCACGTTAGACACCTTTTTTCTGTTTTTTTAACTTCTAAAATTTTGACCCACCCAAACGCGGAGCAGTTGAACACTACCTAAATTTACCAAACCACCCCTCCCAACCTAATTGATTCCCCATCCCTTCCCATGACCCAATTAAATCGTGTCTGCTAAGCAACCAATCTTTTTCCTCTTCAATATAACCGCCCCCGCTCTCACCTGCGCTCTCTGTCCCAAGTCCAAATAAACCGAAGAGAGAAATTCCGTCGGTCTCGCCGGAAAGGGGGGTGGTTTTAGAGGGAGATCGGAGGAAATTAAGTTATGGGTAAGAGTGATATGAGTAAGAGTAACAAGAGATGGGCGCTGTTCAAGAGGCTGTCATTGAGATTGAAGTTGTTGGGGTCTGCTTTCAAAGGGAAGCGACTCCACCTTTCGTTCATGGATGATGTGCTTTTCAGGATCGTGTCGGTGTTTGAAGCCATCGTCTTGGTTGCCGCTTTATGTTTCTTCTATCTCTGTTGTGGGTGCCACTTTTGACAATCGTATGTATATATAAATTCACTAATTTTCAGCTTTTCTAATGTAATTTCTTGTAATTTTCTTATGGCAAAATTTCTTCAAGTTTTTATGGAGAGAATGATTGTGGGGTAAAGTTTGGATCAATGTGGGGGGGTTTTTTATGTTGCTTAATTTGTATTACTCCCTCATTTTGATGTATTTCCCCACACAGATGAAAGTAAATTTGTGAACTCCATATTTCATCCAATTGTTCTTCATTTTTGTTTTTCATAATTTTGCACCAACATTTTATTATTTTTCTCCTGTAGAAACCCAAAACCCAGAATAGTTTTGTTCAGCCGAAATTAAAGTAATTATCTTTTATTTTTTATTTTTATGAAAAAATAATTTCCTTTTATTGTGAAATTGTTTCCAGAAATGACAGAAATGATTGAATGGACGATGGGTCTCAATATCCCATAACTTCCGTCCCTAATCTAACTGTACTGTTGTGTAAGACAATAGAACAGCACAGACTGCACAGTACAATAATTTTTTTTGTTTTATTTTATTTTTGGCCTTTGGAGTTTGGAAAGGAGTGAATGCAAATAGTGCGGTAACGTATCAAAGGGAAAATGACAGAGAAAAAGGAGGCTAGCATGTAGGGTATTGGGAATGCTGCGAATGCACAAAGGTACAACTGACGGGTTGTCTGTTGAAGCCCATTGGGCCTTGTATGTACTCTGTACAGAATGGGCCATACCCACACGAGCACTTTGCGGAACTCAAAAGTTGCTATCAATCAATTATTATTATTGACGTTACACCAGAGCCAACTCATTTATGACTATAAATACGTTTTTTTTTTTTTTTTTTGGAAAATTGACGGTCGATTTTTCTGTGTAAATATTCTTCGTTTTCGTTTTGTTTTTGATATATGGATTTATTGCTTCATTTATTTTAATTTAGTTCCATCATGTGTTTCGATGTATTGACAAAACATCCTTCGCTTTATTTAGAAATATATATATATATGTATATTTGTTAAATTGGCTTTTATACAAAGAGAAAAATAACTGAACAAATCATAAAATTTTCACCTCTTTTTTTAATGGAGGAAAGCAATAAATCAGTCTCCTTGCACGTTCATTGTTTCCTAATGTCAATTTTTTTATCTGTTTATCTTTTGTGAGAAAAAATGAGATGGAGAAGCATGAATTAATAAGTAATTATCACTATTTGTAGTTACTTTTGGCCTTTTCAAGCTAACCAGTTGAGACTTAAGTGCATCTCTTCCAACGAAATTGAGTTTGATTACTCACTTCCGAAATTGTAGATGTTTCTTTGCTTTTTTTTTTTTTTTAAGAAACACTTGTTAGTAGTCGTCCATGAATGGCAGGCAAACAAAATTTGGTAGAATTAACCCAAATTTTGCTCCCACAATACAACCACAAGAGACTAAAAGAAAGAACTATCGAAAGAAGTTTTTTTTTTTTTTTTAGTGGAAATGAGAAATTCATTCATAAGTCAACTAAAGTTAAAAAAAAGTTAGTTTGATACACAGTAAAACTACCAAGTTCGAGGCACAGTACAACTGCTAAGCTCGTGAAAAAATTGGAAGCACAAAAAGTGAGAACAAATCAAAAGAAACAAAAGGTTCTTCTTTTGATGCACAAGTGCATTTCCACACCATATGCTTCTTGGAAAAGCATGCATGAGAGAATTCCCCTCAAATTGAAGGATTAATGATATGTAAATTTTAATTAGAGATTTATGAGAAACGTTAGTTGCAATTGTGCCATTTAAAGTATTTACAGTTAACTTTGAGTCGGTTTCAATCTCAACTTTCCTAAACCACAAACCAACAGCAATTTCGGGTCCTCCTCTTTTTGGCCATAAAAATTCCCAGTCCTGTTTTAATGCCCAAAATTCACATTCATTTTTTAAGCCAAAGCACAGATTCTTAGCAAAGCCAATAATTCATTTCCCTTCATGGTCGCGAAAAACCCACCAGCTCCAGCAAGACCAAGGTTATTAACGGATTTATTTGATCCACTGCTTTTGGCCCTGTTGTTCATGTAGAGGATTTTAGAAAGAAATCAATGAATTGAGAAGTAGTCATTAACCCATTTTTGTTATTTTGACCCTCTAGTTATGTCTTAAAGCTTTCTGCTTCATGTTTGTCGTCGTTTGTGATAGAGTAGAATAAGAAATGCAGTAATAAAAGAAGTTTTTTTTTTTTTTTTTTAATCTGAAATGATAGATATGTACTGATGCTTTGTTCCACTAGTAATAGCCTTTATATAGGCAGAAGACATCAATAATACAACCAAATAAATAGTAACTAAATTCTAAAAACAAGGCAACATGGCTAACATGCATACTGACACGTCCTGCACTACGTCCTAAAGAGTAACAAAAAAACAAATAGTTTCTTAGATAATAGGTGACAATAAAACTTATTCAACAGTGAAAACTACAATTAGATCAACATTAACAAACCAACAATCCCCCTTTAATCCTGATCTAGTAAAGTAGTCATTCCAAGCATGCTCCTTAATTTGATAAAAGCTTCAAACTTCAAAGGTTTGGTGAGGATGTTAGCTACTTGGTTTTCCGATTTGCAGTAAACCAACTCAATTGCTTTCTTGCCAACTTGATCTCTCAAGAAATGATATCGAACATCGATGTGTTTGCTTCTTCCATGTGTGACAGGATTCTTTGCCAAGTCTATTGCAAAGACATTATCAATAAAAATCTTCATTGGTTCTTTCATTGGAGCATAAATTTGGTTCATTAAATTGAGCAACCAAATTGCTTGACATGCACTTGGTGCTATAGCAACATACTTTGCTTCACAAGTTGATAGAGCAACAATAGACTGCTTTTTGATGACCAAGAGAAGGTTGTAGCACCAAAATTGAAATAGCATCTAGAAGTGCTTTTTTGATCATCTAGATCTCCAACCCAATCACTATCTGAGTAGCCTAGAATAGCACAATTATCTGTTGAATAAAACAAACCATAATTAAGAGAACCTTTTAAGTACCTCATGATTCTCTTGGCTACTTGCATATGAGATTCTTGTGGATTTTCCAGGAACCTACTAATTAAGCCAACACCATAAGAGATGTCTAGTCTTGTGCATGTAAGATATCTCAAACTCCTAACAATTTGTTTGAAATAAGTTGAATCAACTCGTGCCTCTTCTCCATTTTTTGACAATCTTATACCAACTTCCACAAGAGTTCTTACACAATTACAATTTTGCATAAGGAATTTCTTCAAGAGTTCAACTACATGCCTCTTTTGACATATAAAAATCCAATCTTCTCTTTAAACTACTTCGATGCCTCAAAAATATGAGATGAGGTCGAGATCAGTCATTTTGAACTCACCCATCATGGACTTCTTGGAATCTTCAATCATTGTGGGATTATTGCCTGTGAATATTAGATCATCAACATAAATAGATAGCAGCAATATATCACCATAATTGTTAACCTTCACATATAAAGCATGTTCTGAGGGACACTTCTCGAAATTGGCTTGGAGGGAGAAGGAATTAACACGCTTGTTCCATGTTCATGGAGCTTGTTTGAGGCCATGAAATGCTTTCTTCAACCTATACACCTTATCTTCACTTCCTTGTTTCATGAATCCAGGAGGCTGCTGGACATATACCTCTTCTTCAAGTGGGCCACTTAGAAAAGCTGAGTTCACATCCATTTGATGGATTTTCCATTGATTTTGTGCAACCAAACCAATTATAAGTTTGATGGTCTCCATTCAAGCAACAAGAGGAAAAACTTCTTGATAATCATAGCCAAGCCTTTACTCAAATCCCTTTGCCACCAATCTTGATTTATACCTTTCTACCTCACCATTTGACTTCACCTTTGTCTTGAAAACCCACTTGACATCAATTGCTTTGTGACCTTGTGGAATATCAGTGAGTACCCATGTATTGTTCCTTTCAATTGGCTTGATCTCCTCATTCATTACATTTACCCATTTAGAATCTTGAATTGCCTCCTCAAATGTCATTGGTTCACTATCTACAAAGAAAGCAAAGTATACCAATTCTCCATCATCATCAACTTCATCATCAAGAGTTACCT